AAAGGATGTTTTTGCTCTAAAATAGGCTCTATATCCAAATTTTTAGCTATATCTACAATTGTGAATTCTTCATCAATCCTCTTTTTAACATATATAGTTCCTGGTTGTTCTTGATCAAAAATAAAATGATGATATTTTAAAATATTTGGTAATGGTTTAAAAATTTTTTTTAAATATTCAGTCCAGCTGTAGAAAAAAACTTTTCTTTCACCACTTTCATCATAAATTGTCTGAGCATTATTGTATCCATTTGTTGATGATTTTATAACATTAACAAGATCATCTAAATCATCAACTTCAGAATTTTTAAGTTTCAATTTCAACAATCCAAAAAAACTATCAGGACTAAATTTGGTATGTCCAGCTACCATAAAAGAATATGTAATTCTTTTATGTTTACCTGTCAATACTCTCCATGCCAAATATTGAATCATTGCATTGTTTTTATTTTGACCAGAGCAATTATCTGCATGAATTATTATTTCTTCTTCACCAAGACTATATTGTTCAAAATAATTATGAACTAGAGAAATCACAGTATCAGCTCCTTTACCAACATACTGTGATTCTTCTATAAGGTAATTTATCTGAATAACAATTATATTATTATATGAAAGTAATTTAAAAAAAAATTAAAACTTTTTAGAAAATATTATTTACCTGTCTTGGTTTAAAATCTTCACAAATGCCAAATACTTGAACTTTATACAAAGATTTAAAATATGTACTTGCCTTTTATTTGTAATATAATTTAAAATTAATCACCGTTGAAAAAATTGTATGGAAATAAAATAATATGCATACCACTTGTTGTGTAGAATATGGGATATGAACTTGTTCTGCAAAATCCCATGAAATGTGAAGTTTAGCATCAATGGATTTTACAGATCTAATGGCATTTGAATCTCGATTTGAATTTTCAAATGATTCCTTTGCATTTTTTATACAATCTCTAAAAATTAACAATTTAGTCAAAATAAATTCAGGAATCTATAATAAAGAAAAAATTTACTGTTGATATATATACCTATAATATTCACGTTCCTTTGTTGCCCATGTAATATGATCATTCCATTCTCTGATCTTTATTTCTTTTTCCTCTGGCATCCAATAATTTGCATTGAACCTGTGTTCTTTGCAAATATGACATAAATCACTTCTAGGTGTAAGAAATTTTATCTCTGGAAGATATGTCTGCCATATTCTTCGAAATGTTCTGTTTGAGATGTAAATTTCAGAATTTTCTTCAATTGTATCAATGAAATATTTAAATACAGTAGTATGATTTTCATTTGCTGGAAGAAATATAATATTCTTTGTGTCTTTTTTAAATTTTCTTCCTATAATAAATTACATTGATTAATAAGTTCCCATTTTAATTTTAAAGTTTGTTAATAATTTATTTTTATTTACCTGGAGATGGTAGTCCATTTATATTAGAATAATTTAATATGAATTTAATAATCTGCAAAACTCCATCAAATGATATTGCTCTATTACTTGCTTTCCCTGTTAATGAACTTGTTCTTAATTGTATATCAAAATCATTAAAATGACTTCTAATATTTTTCCATCTTGTATCACCTATGCCATAGATACCCATGAATGCAGTTCTACAAATTTCTGTTCCATCAAAAAAATAAATATTTGCAAATTTTATTCTTTTTTCTTTTTTGGCAGTTGTTTCACTTCTCAAACTAGCAGAAAGAATGCCTTTCAAAAAAATGTCTTGCTCAGTTTTTCTTAAATTAAGAAAACATTTATATCTAGTTTTAATATTATTAGAATTTAAATTCTTTTTCAAACATTCTTTTTGACAGCAATTCTTTTGTACTAAATTTTCTATATAATGGTTTATATCATTATCTATTTCCATTTGTTCTTCAGAATCAATAACTTGGTCATCTATTATTTTATTTTTATTATAAATATTTTTAAATTTATCTATTTGTTCTTTAGACAATGTTTCTGATACATGATCATTTTTTTCTATTTCATCATCACTTTCTTCTATTTCATCATAGCTTACTTCTGCTTCACCAACTCTTTCTTCATTTTTGTTAATAATTGAACTAGACATATAACTTATTCTCAAATTTGCAAAAGATTCTTCTAAGTCAATTAAATCAGGATGTGTTTCAGAAAAAATATTGTTAAAAAATAAATGTGTAGAAGTCATTTTTTTAAAATATAAATTTAATTATTTGTGTTGTGACAAAATGGATTTTAAATTTTTATTTTCCGTTTGTTTTTATTACAAAAATTATTTAATAAATTTCGTGTTACATTATTTGAACCAAATTCCTGGATTTATGTTTATCATTACTTGTTTTAGTAGTATAACATCAATTTTTGGTTCTTATGTCTTTGCAGCATGGTGGAAATTCTATTTTTCGTGTAACATAATTATTTATATTGTTTAAAGTAGAATTACAATAGTGTAACCAAATGCCAGGGTAAAGTGTAATAATGAATGTGTATTCAAATTTTGCACATAAACGCCTTCATATATTCTAAGTCTAGATCAGAAAAGATCAGAAATTCCATTGACATTTTATTAGTAAACTTTTTGGTGTGAATATGGGAAGGAAATGAAGCAATTTTGGACCTTGTGAAATTTGTAATTTTAGCAATTATGAAAACACTACCTTCCAGAAGTTAAATGAAGATTCCTTACGAAAAGTTTTCTCTAATAACAAAGAGAATTTATGTGTTTTAGAAATAGGTTCACAGTTATGCCATAAATGTTACAATGATCTTGTAGTATATGATAGGAATGATAAGAATAATAAGAATAATGATGATGAAAATTTTTGTTTAAAATTACCATTACATGAAAAAAAAAGAAAATTTATTTTACATGAAGCTGAATATAATGAATTAATAAATAAATCATCAGAAAATATTCAACTTAAGGCAAATATTCAATTTATACAAAATGAATTAGACCAATTAAAAGAAAATTTTGATGAATTATTTTTAATATCAGGCAAATAATTTATATTTTAAATATAATATAAAAGCATCAAAAAATTTTACATTTTATATATATGTTTATTATACTTATTTTAATATTACTGTTTATTTATTTTTATAAGAAACAAATTTTTGTAAATATTTTACAAAAGAAATAGAAATTTTAACAAAAATTTTATACGATGCTCAACATAAGGAAAAAATAAATCCAATCAATAATGTAAACAATTTTATGGAATATGTGAGTAATAAACATCCTGGATTTGTTCATTTTTTTAATACATTAGTTCAATCAACAAATATTAAAAATAAAAATCAAAAAACAATTGAAAGTATTAAAAAAAAAATTATGGTATTAATTTACCAGTTAGTAAGTATTAGAAATAAACATTGTACTTATTTTAAAGATGATATGGGATTGTTTTTAGTCGGAACTGGCACATCATGTTCTGGAATTAACATGCTATCAAATGTTGGCTTATCAACTACTTATCGTTCATTAATTAACAAAATGAATAAAATAGAAAAAGATCATGCTTTGAGTGTACTAGAATATTTAAAAAAAAAGGTAAATAATTTTATTTATATTTTATAATATTTTATAATATATATATTATTTATTAAAATTAAAATTAAAAATTTTTTTTTTAGAAAATTAATACTTTTATTTTAAATATAGATGACTATCATGACATACACCAATCAAGAATGCCAAACACTACTTCAACTTCACATGTTGCACATATGATGACTATGACAATAAATACTCCAAATATCCCTTCAATTTATTACTTATCTCCATCTGGATTCAAAGTACATAATCCAAATCTTGTAGACTCTAATAGTTTAATATATTATTTATATAATACATATATGAACAAATTTAGTGTTAGTTATATAAATAGAAAATCATTTTGGTCAGTTCCAGAAATGACTCTCTTACCTGAAAAAGAATTAATAAACACATTATCAATTCACTCATACAATACCAACTGGATTCAAGAAGATATGTATAATATACGTACAATGGATTGTGTTAAGTTGATTGAATTTCAAGAGTTGAATCTTAAATCACTGGATGATTATTTAAAAGCAGCAAATTTTTTATTTCAATTTTCTGAAATTCAAGATTATATTCAAACAAATATAATCCCAATATCAGCTGATTGGCCTGGCCAGTTATATATTCGTAGTGCAATTACTCAAAAAATTTTAAAGTTAAATAATAATATTCCTGATCAAATAACTAAGTTAGTTCCTTTAATTAGTCCTCTACACATCTCACTAAACACACGTGAAACAACATATAAAATTTTTTATCCTTTTTTTAATAAGCTCTATTTGTATGTTTTTAAGGCTAAAAAAGATCTTGGAGAAAGAATATTTCCATGTAAAATTAATTTACTTCTATATCTAAGTTATTGTGGTTGGAAGTTAGTTAGGCAAGAAATCTTAAAAATTTAAACTATGTAAAGATATTGAATATGCAACTAGTATTGACTTGTTAGATAATATCATTCCCTCTGTGTTGGATATTTATGGAGTTTTATTTTGAGGAGGATTTTTCGATGAATATATTGAAACTTTATTTTGTGTATGGACTTTTATGGCAAGATTTAAAAGAAAAAATTATGATAAGGCTATTTTGGCTTTTCTAAGTGATATTTTTTACTGGAATCCAATTTACAATTTTATTAGGCAATACTTATCACTATTTCATGATAGTTATGTAGAAAACTTTCACTCTTTATTATGTAGATACACATCTGATAAAGGTTTTGATCCAAAAAGATTAAGGCGTGATGCTTTAGTTATAGATACTGAAAAACATAATAATAATTTTTTAAATGCATTTGTTGAAAAAAAAAAATATCCTTATTCAAAAAAAAAATATAGATTGTATGCTAGAAAGATCAGCTATATTTTTATTACAATACTTTGAATCAGTTTGGAATAATTTAGGTAAAACACAAAAACTTACAAAAAGAAAAGCAAATGAAAAACAATATTATGATCTTCCAACAATGGGTAAATTATGGGAAGTTGCTTTACCAACAGCTTTTCTTTCATCACACATTCCTAATACTCAAAAATTTTGTGATGCCAACTTTTGTAAGATTTTAGATCAAAATATTCCAAGCTATTTTTTAACTTGTGGTCATTCATTTCATATTATTTGTTTTAACAGGCAAAATAATTTATGTGTTTATTGTTACCAATATTTTTCAGAAAAGATTAATCAATTAGTTCCTTCTTTTATTGAAAGATTGAAAAAATCTGGACAAGATAACAATAAAAAAAAGAAAAAAAAGAAAGACAATGATAATGATAGTAGTAGTTCTGAGATGAAAAAAATATTAATGATAATGATGAATTTATAATTTTTCAAAATGATGATTCTGCAAATAAACAATTAACTGAAGCATTAAATAAGTAAGTACCAACAAAAAATTATTTTAACTTTAAAAATTTATAATTTAAATTAATAAAAAAATATTTATCTAAATTATCCAATAGGTTTCATAAAAATTGTAATCAATAATAATATTAAAAATTAATATTAAAAAATAAAATTAAAAATTAATATTAAAAAATAAAATTAAAAATTAATATTAAAAAATAAAATTAAAAATTAATATAATATTAAAAAATAAAATTTTTTTTTGATCTTCAAATGTTACACAAAAATGGGAATTTCCACCATGCTTGTCTTTGCAATCTTTTTTAAATAACTCAAAATTTTATTAAGCAAAGTGGGTATGGTTTCTAAGCTAAAATTAATCTTTGCAATGAATTACATATAGGAATGTTATTAACTCAAAATCATGATTTTTGACGTTTGGGTCGTTTCTATTGTCCATGCCCCATATCAACAAAATGAAATCGTAACTTTGTAGAGAAAGGTCTTAGCTTCAAAATTACGGCTTATTTTTTTGGTGTTACATTTCCATTTTTGGAGTTAGAGAAGGATCTACAAGGACAATGAAAAGTTGTGGGACTAGGTGTCTTGCACTATATATATATAAAATACGTTGAAACGAGAATTTTTTAATTAATAAAATCAAGGGGTAAAACCAAAAATCTGTTGAAACGAGGGTTTGACTGTACATGGATTAAACTTTAAATTTTGGCTTTATTTTTAGGAAACTGGAAGGAAGTACTGCAAAACGTCCAAGAATCCTTACCATGAAAAACATTAATATTGGAGAGGAGACTATTACAAATACAAAGAAAAAACATGCATCAAGGTATGTGCTAGATTACCATGAATGGTTGATAATATGAATTCCGTCATTTACTCTGATTCACTCAATGTTTACAGAAAGAAAAAGTCCCAATTTGTCAATTAATGCATCCAGCATTTAATAAGCTCATTACTGGTGAAATTGATGATTTCATTAAACTTTTAAAATATTTCCTGCAAACAAGATCACTGAGATCACTGGAGTCCTCAAGTGAACCTGTGCTACAAGGAATTGTAGAGTGTCTTTTAGATCCATCAGATAAATCTATTCCAGAACTTTGTCTTGTAGTCAATAAAACCAAAAAAAAGGGTGAAGGTCATTATGGATTTATTGATATTTTCATCCCTCCATGTGATATTGCTATTAATCAACGTTCCCTCAGAATTATTTTGAATTGAAGTATATCACATTGGATGGTCTTCTGAAAGGAAGAAAAAATGATTGGAATAAGATAATTGGTTATAATGATCGAGAGAACTTTGAAAAGGAGATGGAGATTTCCTATAGTATTATAAGTACCATGAAATATATATATTGGTCAAAAAATGAAAGAAAACCTGTGACAACTACAGTTGGAGAGGTCTTTGAACCAGGGTTGGCAAATGTGTGGTCCATTGGGTCCATTAGTGTAACACTTTAATCATATTTAGTATTTTATTAATGGCAATGGACCAGTCCAAAATCCATCAGTTCTCAATGGACCAATCAATTTGCCAATCCTGCTTTGAACATGCTAAAGTACAACTCAACACTTACATACAGACAGTTATAAAGGGTGATGCAAAACGATCTAATTCTGGAGTTTGTTCCAAACAGATTAAGATTGAAGACAATGGCAAGGATAGATTGAAAGGGTATGTTGTAATGGTAATTGGAAGGAAAGATATTCTCACACATTCCACTGCTATAATTTCAACTTGTTTCAATTATAATATGGCAACTTAATAATAATTATGAGGTGTAATGATTAATTCCTTGAAAAATCCTAAGTATAATTACTATCCTTATTCTAAGACTTTGTTTTTTTCAATTTATATGATAATAATCTATCATTATTAATGATTCTACAAAAATTAATTAATTATTAATCTGATATCATTTATTGAAGAAAGGGATATAATTTCTATTTAAATGTAATTTCTTTGTTTACTATATTTGATCTTTGTTTAAAGTTTAATATTGTTTACTTCTTTAATAATAATAACTTTGCATTATTTAGTTATTTGTGCTATTTTTTTTTTTTTTTTTGAAAAAAAAAAGAGCCTAATTATTGAATTTGCAGTGTAATTTTTATTTGAAAAAATTTACAAGTATCACTCATAAAATATTATAATAAAAATTATTTAACATCAATTTCAAATATGCTGATATTCAAATAGAAACATGATTTAAAGACTTTTTTTTCAGGACATTGCAGATCTACAGTGGGTCAAGTGTCACTCATATGATCTTTGTGCATAATTTTATATGTAAAATCAGTGTTGGCAATGACAGTTATTTAACTTTTGAACTGTCAGTTAAATAACTGGTTCAAAAGTTAAATAACCAGTTCAAAAAATCATTTGAACTTGTGAACTTTGGTTCAATGACATAAATTGATTGATTTATGTGCACAGAGCACATTGTCTAACCAATTTTGGAAATTATCTGCAAATAATTAACAAATTGGGTTAGATAATATGCACCATCACCTATATCTTTTTATTGTAAAATATGATTTCCTCTAAGCTGTTCCTGTGTACAGAATTGATAAAATTTTAAACCAAGGTGTAAATAAACATTGTTCTTTCCTAAAATCAAAGTTATTAACTCTGTATCCAGAAAACAGTACATATAATAATAACATTTGATACTGTTTTCCATATTTGTAATGAACTCTATCAAATAACTTGCATATTGGTTAAATAACTGCTCAGCAATGTTCAAATGATCAGCATGTTATTTAACTAATTAACTGGTTATTTAACTAATTAACAATTCAAAAGTTCAAATAGTTCAAAAAAAGGTTTGAACCAGTTAAATTGCCAACACTGACTGTAAGTGAGTAAAATCATGATGTTATACAGAACATGTGATTTACTGAAGATTATAAATTTTTACGCGGGACCCTCCGTGACATGTGCAAACGTTTATTTTTTTTAATTATTTAATTAATTATTTTTATCTATTTATTTTTATTATCATTTATTTATGAACCTAAGTTGGTCGTAAAGACAGTAATTAACATAAAATGTTAGTATTGGTATTTATCAACTAACTAAGGTTTCAAATTATCATTTTATTTAATTCTTATACAATAATGGACAATAGATTATTTCGTTTTAACTTGTAGAATGTATTAGTAATTTTTTTTGATCTGAATGTAATATAGAAAGGATTCCATTTTCAAAGTTTTTTGGGGGACGGGATGGTATTGTTTTAGAGATATATTTTAGGATGATATATTCATGTTTTTTTTGATGTTTTAGATGATTTATTTTAGTCTTTACTGGTCACGATCATAATTAATAATAATAAAAATACAAGTTACAACAAAAACTCTGCATAATTTTAATAGTAATTAATTGAATAGATAATAAATTCGTCCAGATGACTATTCGGGTAATTCCCGTAACAATTAATTAATTAATGTAATAATAATTTCAGCCTGACGGGGGCAACGAGAACTAAATACCCAAGACTAATTGGGATTAGTGAAAGATTAATTTGTTGAGAACGAATTGGATCCATAAGGATAAATAATTAATTAATAGTAACATTTAGGAACGAAATTCAAAATAAAATTTAAAATAAATAAATAAACTTATTAAATTAAATAAGATCTACTCGTACAGTATAACTGAAATTGCAATCTCATTTTTGATAATATCAATTATTATATTAACAACAATTATTTATAATTATCAAAAGATAAAAAAGAAAAGATTATAATTTTATTGGTAATGAGAACTAAATTCATAAATAGTCACTGTTCAAAAATAAAACATCAAAAGGCTTGATTGAGAGTGATCAAAATTTTTTTTTTCAGGAACAAATTAGATAACAAAAGAATCAATTCTAATACATATCCATTCTAATTATATTCGTAACAATTATTTTATATTATTAACATTAACCTAAAGAATATCACAAGAGCAATGAAAAAATTATTGAGAAATTAGAAATATTCAATGTGAGAAAAAATTAATAAATCTTACCTTTTGAGGAGTTGCTAATGTCTTTCTCATCATCATAATCTTTTTTGATGGAGTTTTCTCATTATTATTAGTGATGGTTGGATACATAGGGTGAAAGCCTCTCAATAAATTCTTCTATCAATCTCTGCAATTGGCATATAACATAAAACAGAATTGATGATTTGTCAATTGGTATAATAGACATATTAAAAAACTTAAAGAACTTACCTTTAAATTTACAATTTCATATAAGATGACTTCTACCAAACAAAGACTAAGATTGCTCCTTGGCAATTCAAATTCACCCAATAAAAACATCCTGTACACACCATCATATGACAGATCCATTGCATAAATTCTAATATTATAACCTGCCAGAGAAATTGATTAGCTTTCAAAAATCATAATATTCAACAGAAAACAATTGTTTATGATAGATACCAAATGAGTGAATTCCAAAGACAACCATTTCCAATTCAACTCCTTTGCCATAGATATCATCAAGTGAGTCTTTCATGAGAACTCCCAAATCAACCAAGTCAACATTTACCAATTGTGAATTGCCTTTGCTAGGTGATTTGAAAAGACCAAACAAGATTTCAAATTTGTTATATCCATTAAGATCAATAGTGAGCATAAAATCAGGTCGATGACCTTCACCATCAGAATCTATTTTTCTAGATGCACTTGCTAGTGACATCTTATTAGCCCTGTTGCAAAAAAGAAACAAATAGATGTTAAATTAGAGTATTAAACTTTAAATGTCAAACAAATTAATTGACAATTAAAAATCCATAGAAATTACCAATTAATTGTTTTCCCTGGCTTATCTGGGAAAAATGGTCACAAGATAGGATGTATCAGATGGTGTAAATAAGTATCTTCAATTGTTAATGGGTCATCAAAAGTTGTACACAAATTTCCAACACTATTAAATTTGATGTATTTGAGTGTAGAATTGGTATTTAATTTGAGAAATATATGTTCAAATAGAAAACAAGGAGTATACTTACACATGTCCCCAAACTTTCTGGCAAGTCCTGAGCAAATGAGCTTGTGGGGGAAAACAAATGACGCACATTGATCGATGGCATTTTTTTGGAAAAAAAAAGTCAAAGATGAAGGATCATCATCCAATTAAATTATCGGAAAGAGAGTTGTTGAATTGAAAAGAATTTTGCTCGATCGATAAATACAAACAGTTTATATATCAATCAAAAAAATAACTAACTCACTTAAAGGGAAGAAGGATCACAATCAAAAATCACAATCGAAAAAAAATGACTAATTCATGAACAGAACAAAAACTTTGCAACGGCACATTCATTCATTGACCAAATGTGATTTTTATTACGCAACGACTGTATTTACTTAATAATCATACACTTTAGTACTAGCGTAATTTTTGTTTGTTGTATATATATAGATAGACTACTTTGTTTGCGACATAAACAAACAATTTATTTTTTATTATTTAGATTTTACCTTATTTTATTATTGTACGTTATTTTAGTTCTTATCGCACTCATTCGGTTAATGATTATTTCTGGGGTTAGTTGATCAACGGGGTAGACCGCGGCAAACAAAAGAAAAGAAACCTCTCCGATAGATGGACGTGGTAGATAAAAAATAAAAAAAAATAAAAAAATAAACCAAAAGATAAGGAAAGATCAAAATTTTTTTTAACATCAAATGAACGAATAGTGAAAAATAATTAGATTTAGTAAACTAATAAATAATGGGAATTGTTATTCGCACCCCCATTTTTGTTATTTGCACCACTCCCGTGACTAAGACAAAGATGAACCAATAAAATCATCATATTTTAAAGCCATTCATTGGTCGCTTACTACACTTAGTCACGGGAGGGGTGCGAATAACAAAAATGGGAGGTGCGAA